GGTTTTCCTTTTGATGTGGTAATAAAACAAAGAATAAGGTCAGTTGCCACGGAAACATGTGTGGGGGGGCCAGTTTTGATAGGCTGTTCAGGGATAGGCTGTTCGTGTCCCTTTGTCAGTTTAACAGTCAGGCCCCGCGTTATCAGCTTCGGAAACAAAATGGTGCCAGTTTTATGGTCGGGCTAGCATTTAGAGAAAGCAACTTTGACCCCTCCCCTTCTTCTCTGGGGAGGAGAAAGGAATTTAGAGTAGCTCCAGATTTATTCAATATAAAATGCACAAATCCACACCGTTGTTCACTACACAAGATAAAAGCATGAAAACATTGAAAAGACTAAAATACACGTTTAAGATAAATATAAAATTAGTAAAATAGAATAAAATAAAAGGGATAAAATAAAGTCAAATAAGATCGGGAAAGGCTCTCCTATAAAAGTATGTTTTAAGAAGGGACTTAAAAGAGTTCACTGACTCAGCTGACCTGATTTCCTCGGGCAGGCTGTTCCAGAGCCTCGGGGCCCTGACAGCAAACGCTCTGTCGCTTTTAGTTTTCAGTCAAGACTCTGGGACAGACAACAGACCTCTGCCCGAGGATCTCAAGGTACGTGTTCAAGTTCAGAAATATAACAAGGCGAGAGACCATGAAAAGCTTTAAAAGTGATCAAAAGAATTTTAAAGTCAATTCTAAAACATACTGGGAGCCAGTGTAATGAAGCTAAAATAGGAGTAATGTGGTCATATTTCTTTGTTTTGGTTAAAAGCCTGTCAGCTGAGTTCTGGACAGTCTGGAGTCGATCAATAGATTTTTGGGTTAAACAGGTGAAAAGGCTGTTGCAATAATCCAGGCGTGATGAGATGAAGGTGTGTAAAATGGTCTCGGTGTCCTTAGAAGTTAACATAGATCGATTTAGCTTTGTGGTGTGCTACTCGAAATTTAAATTACTATCAAACCAAACACCAAGGTTCTTTGCCACAGGCTTAATGTGATTTACTAGGGAACCAGCAGATGGCAGTATTTGAATTGCCATCTGCTGAGACCCAATGACCAGGATTTCTGTTTTGTCTGAGTTCAGCTGGAGGAAATTATTTGACATAAGTTAGCTCAGCATTCCAGGGTCTGTGGATCTGACGGGCAAGTATATTTGTGTGTCATCAGCATAAATATGAAAAGAAATGCCATGTTTATGGATAATATGTCCAAGGGGAAGCAGATATAAGGAAAACAAAATGGGTCCTAAGATCGACCCCTGAGGCACACCATATTTAACTGGACAGAATGAGGAGACATAGTTGTTTACTGTGGTACTTCCTGAAACCAGACTGAAACTGAAACTTTTCAAATATTTTGTTATTTTCCAGTACAGTGAGCAGCTGTTTGGACACAATTCTTTCTAGAATCTTTGCAATAAAAGGCAGTTTTGAAATTGGTCTAAAATTATGTGGGAGGGAGGGATCTAAACCAGGTTTCTTTAAAAGTGCGTTCACGCAAGCCGTTATAAAATAATCAGGGACACAACCAGTAGATAGGGAGCTGTTGAAAACAGAGATCAAATGGGGCCCAACAGAATCTATTACTTTCAGTAAAAACTTTGTAGGTATTACATCAAGTGGACTGGAGGACACACTCATTTGTGATACTGTTTTTAAAAGCTCAGACAAGTCGATGGGATAAAACTGGTTAAAACTTCCAGCTGAGGCACAAGGAGGAGTTGGGTTTACCAGCTGATCCACAGTCTTAAACAGAAACCTGGGATTGTGCAGTAATGAGTTCAGAAAAATAGTGTGTTCTCGCATCCTTAACCATGTTATTGTAGTTAATTAATAAATCCTTCAGACTGAGGTAATGGACTTGGCTTTGGCTCTGAAAGAATGCGCAAAACTTTGAAACACTTTGTTCATTAAAGATGCGAGAACACAGGGAGCTTGGTGAGGCTGCATGAGTAACAGGCGAATCGCAGCTAAAAACAATACATCTGTGGTCAGATATGGTCATGTCCACTGATTCCACAGAGGAAATGCTGACACCCAGGGTAAAATACCAAGTCCAGTGTATGACCAAGGTTATGGGTTTGCCCTTTGACATGTTGTTTGAAGTTAAAAGAAGTGGCCATATTTAAAAAGTCAGTTGCATTAACATTGGTGAGGTCATCAACATGAATATTAAAATCGCTACAAAGAAAAATTCTGTCATAATTTAAAACCAGAGTAAATAAAAATTCAGGAAGTCCTGATAAAAATCCTTCAGGCGGTTTTGGGGGGCAATAAATTATAACAAATATGATAGATTGCAGCCCTCCAACTTTAAGAGTGAGGACTTCAAAGGAGTTAAATTCATCACAGCGTACATTTTAAATTTTTCCTATACACGCTCACTAGCCCACCACCACGACCACTGACCTTCGGTTGTCTAAAACAACCATTTTGAGACGGACACAGTTCAGCTAAATGGCTATAGTCATTCATTTGCAACCAGGATTCAGTTAAAAACATAAAATCTAGATTTGCAGACAAGATAAAATCATTTAAGATAAAAGTCTTACTTGAAAGTGATCTCACATTGAAGAAAGCCATTTTAAATGAGTTTGTTCTGGGTGCTGGAGTTGGTGCAGTTGTCCTAATCCTTAAGAGATTACTAATATTTCTGTGTGGGATGTGCACATTTCGGTTTACTGGTCTATGCGTGATGATGACAGGAATAGAAGTCTGTGGAACAACGCTGGGAGCAGAAGGCTTTACATGCCAGCAGGTGGAGACAGTTGTTTGTGGCAGTGAGGCAGAAATCTGTTCAGTGACCGGTGGTGTGTCCAGGTGTGCTGCATGAATGATTAGTCATTCACGTACGTCATGTGTGATGTACGTCAGATGTAGCCGGTGAAGGAGATGCAACAGTGTCGGCAGGCACTGCCAAAAAGATCCGTATCAGGGAGACTCAAAGCCGCAGGTGCATCCGCTGGATGGACCGGAGTGTCGTCAGACAGGGCTGCATAGCGGTTGGAGAGGCAGCCCCATCCGAGCCTCTCTTGCAGCACGGACCACCACTTCAGCCCAGGTTGACTGATGCTTCGGAGTCGAGCACAAGGAAAGCCTGGGAAGGTTAGAGGGGTCCCATAAAACGATGTCCTGGATGTTAGCAGTTGCGCTAAGAGAAACAATCTGTTTGGCTTGTACTGAAGCCACATCCTTAAAGCCAGTCAGCAGGGAATCTTTCTCTTTGAGTTCCTCTGAAAGTCGTCGGATGTCTTCCATAAGGTCAACACTCTTTTTTTTCGCTTTCTTAAGGAGTGTGCAGTCCTCATGGGGCGTTATCTCAGCTAGCATAATGTTAGTTGCCGGAGCTTTGTTGTGATCAGTAGCGTTGATCGCGTTTTTACGGTCATCTAGCTAAAAATCCATGTCGGATGACAAAACTTAAATAAAAAGGATATAAAAAATGTAACGAAAAAGTGTGGATCAAAACTGGATAATAGTCTGGTTTAAGACGGAGCTTCCGACAGGTAGCTACAGACGCCAACGCATGCGCAGAGTGCAGATTACGTCAGTAATTACGTCAGCGATCTTGTGACTTACCGTGCAGCAGCATGGGACAGCTTTAGATTTTAGTGTATATACCAAAAGCTAAAGTTAAAAAACTAATTTAATAAAAGCATCTAACTTTGAGCTTCTCCCGCGACTGAACAGCGTAGCTGTCAGAGCATAATCCAGTCCGACTACAGGTGTTTATTTGTCCAAAAACTGCAGCACTGCTCCCCGTACACTTCCCCGTTCTCTGTCAGCCAGTGGCATTTTGATTCCCCGCTCTTCCTGCCCTGGTCCTCTTCAAACAATGCCGGACAATCTCACCGCTGATAGGCTTTCGCAACATAGCGTCCAACAAATTTCTCGCTCAAGTTGAACATTTTTAATTTGTGTGGTGTCCGAACAATAATGTTGCGATGATGTGTTGAGAAGAAATCCGCTTGACACTATTCTTGATCATAAAAGTTTATTACATCAAGGAGTTCAGCATCAATTACAAGCTCTGCAGCAGCTTGGAGAGTGACCCAGCCCGATGGCCACTCTGTCTCTCTGTACATCAAACATAGCTTATATAGGATATGTGCAGACATCTGCTAGATACCATAGAAGGGTTCAGTGCTATTCTGAGGTAACAAAACATGGGGTCAGAGGTCAAATTCTATAGAAGGGTTCACTCCCTATATAACCACCAATCACTGCTTACCCCTTAGGAGGTCACTGACCTTCTGCCCTGCTGCTACAGTGCTATTTTAAACTGTTATGAGTCAAATGCACATATATTGTACACTACACTTGTGCGAACAAGCTAATGTCGCAACAAATGCATCTTCCGCACCGCCCAGAGCAAATTCGCATGAGTTGGCATCTTTGCATTGACTTGACTGATCGAATTTTTCAAGCCACTCAAAACGCTGGATTCACTTTCAGTGTGAACACAGCTTTAGATTTTAATGTAACTCAAGTGGCCCGAACACACAGCTCTGTCTGCTGCCAGTCACAAAACCACCTTCAAAAAAAAAGTCACCTCCAAAGTTTCAGATGCTTCCACAAACATAAGGCAAGACAAGGCAAGTTTATTTGTAAAGCACAACAACAAGGCAATTCAAAGTGCTTTACATAAAAGCAACATTGAAAAAAACTTTAAAATATACTTTTTTAAAAGGGTAAAATAGAAAATGATATAAGCGTACAAACACATAACTATTACTCGTTTCAATACAACATGTAGCACCAAAGAAATCTATCCTCATTTTTGTTCATTTATCTTTTCCAGATGCTCCAAAGCTTCCCTCTGTGTCAGTGAGTCCCTCTGCTGAGATAGTGGAGGGCAGTTCAGTGACTCTGACCTGCAGCAGTGATGCTAACCCAGCAGCTAATTATACCTGGTACAAGGAGAATGAAGACTCACCAAAAGCATCAGGACAGAACTTCACCATCACTGACATCAGAGCTGAACACAGTGGGAATTATTACTGTGAAGCCCAGAACAGAAGAGGACGTCATAACTCCACCTTACATCTGATTGTTGTGGCAGGTACGTTTTTGCATTGAGCTGCACACACTCTGAAATGTATCAGCTTGTATATTTTCAGTGAGTGCAGGAAATTGTGGACCTCAGCTGGGGACAGTACAGTGTTTTTTAATTCCTTAGGCACAATTTTTCAAACTTGTGGTTATTTTTAAAACCTCTACACACTAATCACAAAACCTTACAGCAATAAAACAAAACATTATACATCCCTTGCAAAAGCAAACAATTCTTGCAAAACTATAATACAGTAAACACAAATGCACTGTACTTGGTTCGGATCTGTCTCTGCTTTCTATCTCTGACAGTAGAGAGATAATAATCTCTTTTTAGAGAGAACATTCTGATCTATTCTACTTTCAGTTTCTTCTTTGTAACGCTCCAAATCAGTTTCTTTACATTGGTAATAATTTGGTTTACTCTGATTGGTGTTTGGAAAGCAGTGTTACTCTATGGGAGAAATGGGTCCAAACATGCTGTAACACTCTAATTTACTGTCTGTGTTTTCTTATGTTCCCCATTTTTTAGGAGCAGGGAAATTAACAGTTGCTACAACAATCACTGTTGTTCTCCTGGTTATCATTTCCCTCTGTCTCTTCCTGTGGATCAGGTGAGCAGCTCTGTTTCACTGAATCATTGAAAGTTAAATCACTGAAGGTCAGTTTGTCCAATCTAAAACGTTCAGTCATTTATTTTCTTATTTATTCTCCTAACCAGGAAAAAGAGGGCTTCCAAGGAATCGTCTGAGCCTGAAGAGAGACCAGACGACAGGGAACAGGTGAGAATAGTCATGGATCTTATTCAAGAAGTGCTTCTAGAAAATGAATCTGACTGAGAAGGACTTCATGTTTCTCTTCTGACGTCCTTCTTCACAGCAACGAATTTCTAATGGATGTGACTAAATTCCTAGTAGATCCAGAAGCTTTCCTACTTTTTGTCCTTTCCTTGTAAATTCCTTTACTTAGCTCTTTTCTGTAATGCACGGTGAAGCAGGGTTATTTGTTCCATCATTACCACAGCTGTAGTTGCTTTGGTCTTTTTTGTCCTGGCTGCAATCATCTATAAGAATTCACTATTCAAATGAAAAACCCACTCATGTAAAATATGTCTGTGCAGTTTCTACCTGAACAGCCAGAGGAGCAGGATAACCTTCAGTATACCAGCATTCACTTCACCAACAATCAGGCAGATCCTCTCTACTCCAACATCAGACCAGCTCGCTCCCTCAGACACACGGAGCAACAAGATTTCATGGAGTACGCTGTTGTCACATTTAAGAGTAATACTGCCCCGAGGTGAGCAGCTCTTCTCACATTATCCTCACTACAAGATTAAAATGACATAACTGTGAGATAAATATGTTGCTTTTGCATTTTGCCTGCTCTGCTTTTACATTTGTTGTATCAAGTTTGGAATATGATGTTATTTATATTATTTCAAACAATATCCAGAGGTCAGGAAACTGGAGAGAATCCAGCTGCATTGTACAGCACCGTCAACAAAACCTAATGAACACAACAGATATTGCATTTATGATGTTTCTGTTTTTTTATAAACTTTTTTCACTTTCATTCATTTTTTCAACATAACATCCACCAGTATAGCAGTAGGGGTGGTGATGGAGCAGTGGATAAGACACATGCCTTTAGATTCCCACTGCGACACATCCACCAATGTGTCCCTGAGCAAGACACTTAACCCCTAGTTGCTCCAGAGGCGTGTGACCTCTGACATATTTAACAATTGTAAGTTGCTTTGGACAAAAGCGTCAGCTAAATGAATAAATGTAACCAGTGTTCAGCTTAGATTTTAACTCTGCATGTGCAGCTTTAAAGAATGTGTAAAGTATTTTATGACTTAAAGCATTAACTTGAATATTATTTGTGTAACATGTTTTTTACAGTCTTTTTGAAAGTTCAGTATTCAATGACCTTTTATCTCTGTTCTCTAACAACTCTCCTTCCTGCCAAACCTCTTCCTGGAGACACCAAAATGTACCTGAAGTAACTGTTAGTGCACCAGAGGAAGTTAAGCCTCTCAGACCTAGGAGCTACTTTTAGAGCTAAACTTGTTTGTTTTTGTTTGAGTCTTACAGTTAGGACTTAAACACCCCTTATTTTTTTATGGAGTTTCATAAAACTCAGCTAGTTAGGAGCTACATTTTGTGTGTATGACTCTACTGTTAGTTCAGGAGTAGTAGTTACAGTGATATCCAACATCAGTAAGTCAAAATAAAAGTAAACAGGTGCATTAATAACAGTAAAAGTAAGGCTGAGGCTGCTCCACAGTGTCTGTAAGTAAGTGAGGGAGTTTTGCATAAATACCTTCACAATTCTCTTATATCTCAGCTAATTTGTATATAGTCTATGCAGTTTTTTAATGGCTTCCTTCTAATTTCCATCCTTGTCTATTTGTAATTATTTCAGTCAAATAGTGTCGGTGTTCGTTACCTCTTAGCCAGCAGTCTCTTATGATGCTGTAACATGTCACTTCCTCCCAGAGATCAATAAAGCTGAAGATGAAACTACAGAGTTTGCATTTCTTTCCTCTCTAAATGACATTCGTTCTTTTCACATGACATTTCATGTCTATAAATGTCTGTGTCTGGATTGTTACCACACAGTGGTTTGTGGACTTTCTTGTATATTATATAGTCTATCTGAATACATTTAATGTGTACAGTAAGGCCCTGCGACCCTGTACACAGGATAAGTGGTTGACGATGGATGGATGGATGGATGGATGGATGGATGGATGGTGTACAGTAAGGGTTGCAGAGAAGGAAAATACATTCTTGGATGCAATGTGATATTCACTTGAATTATTCATCCCCATAGAAGGACGACTACTTGTCTCAACCTGTGGGCACTTTTAGCACAATGCAGTGATATCTGCATTTACTTTTATTTATTTACTTTTTTTATTAAATAAAAGATACTTTTATTATTTATTTTTTTTAACACAAACACACATACGCTTTAATTACTTGATTAATGAAATGTATGGGGTTGATTGTTCTTATGTTGTATGTATGATGCTTTGGCAATATTGTTGTTACACATTCATGCCAATAAAGCGAATTTGAATTTAATTGAAATTGAACTGATATTTTGGTAGGAGGTGGGGGTCTGATAAAACTGACTCAATCATTCTGCTTCTCTTCTTGTTGAGTCTCAAACAGTGAAGTCTTCTCGCACATATTTCTACTTTTATGTCATTAAGTTGATGGCTAACCTTTTTAATTGTGTAAAATCACTTTTTCACTTGGATTTGCAGGAAAACTACCTGTTTTATTGCCAAGCAGAATACTTGAGTCAGTGTCAATGCATTTCTTTCTCTTGAATATTAAGTCAAAATAATGAGCGAGCACCAGCTCACAATTTCTACTTAGGAAGTAAAAATTTGTACTTAGTATCTTAAAATTTAGATTTTTTGTTCTTTCTATAATTATTTTCACTTCCTGGCAGAAATTGATTTCTTTAGTTCAAAGCTCAAAGTAGTGCAGGGACCCTGGACCACCTAGAAATCTGTTTTTAATTTACATGGATTTGATGAGTTGATCTTCAAAATTGTTCCATCTGCTGGATGAGCACCAGCCGAATGGACAAAATGGCAAAGCGACTTTAGGGTTTTGGTGTCAGATCTCCAAAAAACATTAAATACAAGGTTTCAGTAACCACTTTAACTAAAAAGTATTAAAAGGTGGTACTTTCCTGCTCCACCCCTAATGCAGAGACATTTTTATGTCTGAAATAAATATGCCTACACTGTTAGAAATTTCTTGTAATTTTACAGGAAATTCCTGGCTAATAGTTGCCGTAAATTTACTGTAAACAGTATACAGGACTGTTATTGTAAAATAACTACAACAAGGTATTGTACTTCCTGTAATTTCACAGGATATAATACTGTAATATTACAGCAAAATTTTATATTTACGGCAACTCAGTAGCCAGGAATTTCCTGTAATTTTAGGGATTTTCTGTAATTTCACAGGATATAATACTGTAAATATTACAGCAAAATTTTATATTTACGGCAACTCAGTAGCCAGGAATTTCCTGTAATTTTAGGGATTTTCTGTAATTTCACAGGACAGAATATTGTAAATATTACAATTAAATGTTGTAACTTGGATAAATGTTCTCTTTCAGACTTCTGCAAAGAAAAACAAAAAACTTAGTTTTTTTTTATATATTTTTATTTTCTCTTAAAAAACAGAGTGCACAATGCACAAACTATTAGTGTACCAAACTGGTTGAACATGAGTTGTCAAACATACTAATGTCCCCAATGTCCCCTGCCCACTAATGTCCTCTAATTTCCCCTGCCCACCAATTCAAAATCCAGCAGTTTCCTCAAAAGTGTGCAAACTGGTGCATTCAGCCCTCGCCTTTTCTCTGCCTTGCTGTCTGGGGATTTATGCCGCAAAAGGCTCTGAAAACAGGGGGAAAAACACACTTATCAGGTAACATTTAAGACAGATATGACATGGTCATAACCATGACATGAAACATTAAGGGATCTTTATGAATGACTGAGTGCTTGTGTGTGTGAGACTGAGAGTCACTGTAGGCTATATGAGTATGTGTGTGTCTGTGGCTTGGCACGATCGATGCAAGGGTCTGCGATGCGAGTGCACCGGTTGGAGTGGTGTGCATCGGATAGAAATTGGGCTGAAACCGTGATGCATCTCCCTTTAAAAGCTTTGCATCAGTAAAATCTGCTTTCCTATTTTATATAGGCCTGTATATTTTTTTAATATTATTTTCATTCAATTTACTTTCATAATTACCTCAGCCATTTCCCAAACGAGCAGACTATTAGATGTGGAGGGGTAGGTCTATTTTCAGGTCTAAATTCATGAGCATTGTTTACAAATAGAACAAATAGAAAGATCTCTAAACTGTGATTCTAACACCCGAGCTACAGCGGGCCTCTACACGCGAGTATTACGCTGAATTCTACGCACTCGTGGATTCAACCGATGTCAGCGATTCTGGCTACACCAGGAACGTGGACAGCGCAGACCCAGCACACGCGTGCTTTAAAATAGGAATTGGTTCTATTTTTCCACGCACTCGCACATCACGCATCTGTGAGAGAGAGAAAACTTTCATCTTGTTGGATAGCTGCACATTGTTATAGCTAGCAAACACAAGTCCAACCCTACTCTGCTTCTGATTGGCTAAACACGTTTTTTGTGTGTGAGAGCTGCCATAGGTTTTGGGGAACTCAAATGATAAACCTTTACGAATATCTATCCTGCTGAAAATTTCTTCACAACTGTGTCACGCCGGAGATCCGGCATGGTGCCGGAATACTTTAACCCCTGAGTATGTGCCTGTGAGAGATTGAGTGAGTGTCTGTGTGTGCGATCGTCAACCATCTCTCCCCATCCCCTCGCTCGTCCCTTTCTCACTAAATTGGATAGCATAATTAGATTTTTTTCTTATAACTGCAAAGCAATGTGTAAAATCTGATCACTCAAAATGCGAAGTAATATGCTTTTGTATTTGTATTAAGTGACTTACTGACATCCCAAACTCTAACAAAAAATGTAAATTACAGAAAAGTTCCCTTCATATATCAAGTCATTGCTTATGGAGGTATATTTGAAGAAGAAATTTGAAGTCTCAGAGAGAAATGTTTTAAGAGTTGCAAACTTGTAGACTTTTTTGTCTCTCCCACAAACACAACAGTTACACCTTCTCAAATTCTCCATTGCAGGTTCACAAATCCTATTCTACAAATCACAAATTAAGAAACTCGTACGCTCACATTTTGTATACGAGTTTCTTAATTTTAATACGTGTTTCTTAATTTAAGTTTCTCGTTTTTATGACAATGCCATGTTTAAACTCACCTCTGAATGAATTCAAGTGTATTTGCGGCTTCTGCCGGATATTGCAAGTTGAAGACATAGTAGGCAGCGAAGACTGCTGCCAATCCATGCAGGAGGTTGCTGTGGGGCCCCATCACACATGCTCCTTCCATGGACATAACCCACATATCTGCACCGTGCAGTATCTCTCCTGAAACCCATTAACAATATGATAACTAAAAGCTGCAAAACACACTATTGCCACCTGCATGAATTCATTAATGTTCAAGTGGAGAAAGACTCGCACACCTCCACTTGAACATTATTGTCTCCTTTGACCCCCGCACCCTCCATCAACAACTCAAAGAAAGACATTTTTTAGGCGCAACAGTCCTCCCTCAACCACATGAATTCATTAAAGAATTAACTTCTACAAAATAAGGGAAGATTATACCTGGTACAACTAATCGAGGTGTGCTTGGCAGAGTGACAGCTCTCTCAATATCAGCAGCCGTGGCAGAGGGCTGGAGAATAAAAACCATAAGTTAACCATGGGTACGTTGAGTAAACAACGACAAAGAAAACTTGCCCAAGAGCTGTAATGTTCTACTCAACACCAAGGGGAAATCAGCTTCAATTTATGGTGCCAAATCTAGAAACAACTGCACATGGCAAATATTTATTTTAAATATGGATGCCATGTCAATAAAACAGTAAATTAAAATTATTTTATGAACTATATGGCAGGAAGCAATGGCTAACCCATCAGAGTATAGCCTGGATCAGACCACGGACTCAGCCCACTTCGCTAAGTAGGCTCCGTCTCGGGTCTGCATTCCCCATTCAGAGCAACAAGTACAGCCAGACCGGAAGAATGTTAGCCCAATGACCGCTGGGGGTGGACGGGACTAAACGTGATGAACCAATCAGCCCAGGGCCCATTTTCAAGCAATATCTGCCTGTGCGCTGACTGCCTCGGAGAACGGAGAATATAGATTGAGGCAGTTTTAGTAAAAAACAGACGGTTTACTGGAATAACTGCTCTGAAACCAGACAGTATTCTGCATGGAGAGCTTTTTTAGAAGGGGCGACGTTTTGGAAATGGGAAGGTATCTAAAGCCCTCCAACTTTGTAAACGCTTTGAATGAGACGGGTGTCAGACTGAAGCGCTAGCTTTGGTCTGATACTCAGGCTGTTCAGAGTCTATATAATATTAGAATAACTTGTGCAAAGTGTCCATAGCAAAGGATGGGGCTGGTGACTGATTTCTGGTAATTAACAATTACAAAATAGCAGGACGGAGATGGGAGGGAGAGAGTGAGGGAATGGTTAATTTATGGATATGCACTGCAAGTTATACTCACATCAGCCGTAAGGAAGATACCATCCCCCTCCTTGAAGTGAGCAAGCAGGCACATAATGGTGCAGATAGCTTTGTTGCCACTCTCTTCATCGTAGGCTTCCAGAACCTTCCCCACTCCTGGTGTCTTCTGCTGTTGAAGTACTCTATGATGTTCTGACTCCTGTTGTCTATGGCAGCTGGCAGCTTCTCCTGGATTGGAATTCCGGTCAGTTCACTGAAATGCGAGAACAGGCCCTTCAAGGAGAAGAGAAAGGGCCAGTCATCCTTAATTTTTGAGACGCTGTGTGGAGGGTCAGCATTGAGATCACAACGCTGGAGAATGTAGGTTCTCTGAAGCCATCTCTGAAGCGCTCCTCTCTCCATGCCTGACATTCCTTCCTAGGGGTGGGGGAGTCAAAATTTGGATGCATCAATACTCAAAAATAAAATGTAGGTTTGTGTCTAAGGATGCCTAAATATAATTTCCACTATTCCTACCTGGGCATATAGCTGCTGCATCTGAGTCTTCATCTCTTGTAGGGTTTCATCAGTCTCCCCTGAGGGGAGTTCTTGAGGTGCCCATCGGACACATCCATATTGATCAACGGGACCTCTTCCATTTGTCCTCGCCTGGCGATTGCTGTGCTTATTCTTCCTTAACCGTGCCAATGTGTTGTTTCGGTTGACATGCTCGATTCTGGTTTTTACTTGCTGGACGAGCGATGCCCCAGCTGTATTTTCATCATCATCCACATCCCCAAAACATGTGGGGTACTTCTGTATTATATCGTTTACAACTTTCAAACAGATCCCTCTATTTGGATTTGCATTGTGCACCCTCATTTGATCGACAAGCTCTCTGACCATCGCTCTTCTGGCAGCAGGATTCGGTCTAGTAGAATTTGCAATGGCTGACTGAATCTCTGGCGTCATCTTCTCCCAGTTAACCTTCAAGGATGCAAACAGAAAATGGCAAAAAAAAGAGAGGATACAAGGATATAAGCTTTTACGGGTGCATTTATAGTCAATTTCAGCATCAGACTCAAATGAAGCCCAATCTTATAACATAATCTGAGAAACAACAAACATCGGCCATTGCCATCGGCCATCGGCCACATTGCTATTTTGAACATCGGCATCGGCCCAGAATTTTGCCATTGGTGCATCCCTATTGAGTAGAATAGAAATATATTTTAGAAATCGCCAAGACCCGCCTCACCTTAAAATGTACAGGCCATGGTGTGCGTGGTGAGGGCATTGGGTTGGACGTTCGGGGTGTCTCAGGTGAGGAGAGTTGTGGACTTCCCACGGGGGACAGGGTTGAGGAGAGTTGTGGAGAGCCAGGAGGAGACAGGGCTGAGAAGGAACCTGAAAAAATATTTACCATTAGACCCCTATGATCCAGACATATTATGGTATATTTAAACACCAATCATATTTTCTATAAAATAAAACCATTAATTTTTCTTTTATTTCAAACTTTTTGTCGTGGTAGCCCCAAAAACAACTGTAGAAAGCCACCTGACAGCCAAGGTCATATCATGTCACGCTTCAAAAAAAATTTGATTGGTGACAAGGGTGGGAATTCCATTTGGCCATCGATGTTGCAACTTTTAGGGCACAAAACAAAAGTGGATTTCACAATCTGCCAAACACATCACTTAATACATCACGCCACAATCATACCATATAAAAAAACAAATCACATGCTGAGGGTGCTTGGAGTGAATTTACAAACGCACCCTAGGTTTACAAGTTCAACTGTGAACATTTCGATGTGTAGCCTAATATACTTAGAATTAACAGTAACAGTTAAATCATTAAATAGGACGAAGGGTAAAAGTGCCTTGCATCCCTCCATGCAGATGACCACCCCCATCCCAGAACCACCCATAGAACCCGAACCACCCAACCTACGGTTACCTTGAGATGAAAAGGCACGGAGAAGCTTTCTAGACTGGACCACACGGAGAAAGGGCAGAAGATTTTCTTCACTTAGAAGGCTCACATCCTCCTTGTTCTCCACACCAAGTTCTTCCAGGCCTGCCATCAAGGTAGTTAGTGTGTCTGCGGGGAGGTCCGGGAGTACTGCCAAGACAGCCCTCCTGAGCTCCTCTTGTGCTGCAGCCATGTCTCTGCAAAGGAGTGATGGAGACAGATCATTGTAATGTCACACATTGTGTAGGCAGGCAAAGGATAATAATCCAGTAGATCATCATGCCTCATGCAAACAAACTGCTCTTGAGGTGTCCCCAAAACACTATAGACCCCAATGTCCCTCAACTTAACAAAACAATATTTTTCTGAGACAAATGACACAGAGCCATGGTGCACAATGACCAGCTCTATCTTGCCAACCTCCAACTCTTCTTCAGTTTTCCCCAGCAAAATAAACATGCCCTTTTTGTATGATGTGCCCTTCACCGTCACTGTGTGAGATGCTACTGTATCTTTAGATTCAAAATGCAAACCAACAACAGCCTCTCTGATTTTGTCGCTGTAGTCATTTACATAGAATGTCATCTCTTTATCCAGTAACACACTCGGCTGAAACATTTTACCTGCACTCAAGTATGCCTGGAAGAGCTGGTGTCTCTCTGCGACTGTCTTGCAGATGTTCTTGAAATTATGTAACTTCCTAGCACATCTTTTGAAGAATGTGTGCTTACTCTCAAACCTGAGAGTCCAAAGGCGAATAAGGGGACCAAAGTGTGTAATGAGCTCTGGATAATGAAGTAAATAGTGATGTTTGGGCTTCAGGGGCTCATTGGGAAAGAGCTGCCTTCGAAAGTAGATATACTCCTCAATGAGTATTTTAAGGTAAGCAACCTGATCTGTAGTGATTGCTGGTGCACAAATGAGCTCTACAATTTCTCTGAGCTGCAGCACAAGTTGCCAGGCACCATTCTCACATGGATTCCTAATCCTATCTCCTATCAGGAGAGGGAGCAAACGCAGGAAGCACCAGTTCTGGACTGCATGTCCACCAAGTCTTCTGCTACCTGGTGAAACATCGGCTGGTTTGTCCTGGGCATCATTTCCCTGATAGTTGAACTGATCTTTGCACCTGTTCAGTTGTGTATAGTTGAAATGTTTCTCCTCAACTAGATGACCAATCAACAAACTAAGGTCACAGGAAACAATGCCTTCAAACAGGTCATGGCCAAGACATGGGGGTAATCCAGGCTGGCAAACATGAAAGAAGGACAGTTGGTTAAAAGGAGAGTTTGACTTGATACCACATTCAGAATTTGTACCAGTGTTTTCTAATTCTTGTAGATGATTCAGAAAAGACTGTTCTGTACGCTTGTTGCCACATAATAATGGAGAGCTCTCAAAAATTGATCTTTTTATATCACAATACCTGCAGAAATAATGGCTCACACTAAAGTTCTCAACAAATCCGCCAGTGAGACCCTAAATTGTCACCAGAAATAGCACACAGTCGACCTCTGACAATTTGTCCATTATTTATCTCAATGCCAGTTTCCTCAAGAGCTTTCAGGTCTTTAATGAGGGGCTCAAATACCTTGTCCATCCCAAAATATTTGAAGTCCTGCTCCTTACACAAGAGAACAAGCTGCATTTGATCTATGGATGATCTGTTATGAGGCAAAATATCTGTTAAAGTGAGATAAACTGCTAGAATCTTGTGTTTCTTTTTAGAAGAACCAAGTGGATTAACCACTTCAAATGCATCCTGATAAAGTATAAGACCAAGAGAAGATGGCTCCGCTTTAAATAAAGGGTTGCACTGAGCTCCCTTCCCGTCATTTACATCTTGGAAAATACCCTCTGATGATGGTGTGGAATGTGTTGCTGCATACTGTTCCTGCATGGACTTGCTTTTAAAAAGTGCAGCCAATGTTTCTTTAATAGGCACATACTGGGCAAACGATTCCTTACCTTTCTCATTGATACCTAATAACTGAGGCACCGGCTCAACATAATTAAAATGTTTTTAAAAGCCGTCTTTCTTTTCTGGTCTGTGCTCAAAGGCCCACTGTTACAGGCTGTGAGGAGATCATCTTTTCTCATTTCATCCATAATGTTACTAATTGTGGCCTCTGGGATTCCAAGGACAGTTAGTTTCTCACTCAAGGTATTAAGCAGATTTGTCAGACTGACATGATGGACATCTTGATATCCCTCAATAATAGTTTGTATTGTAGTAGCCGGCAATAGTAGTTTAGCCTGAAGTTTTAGATAGAAAAGTGTGATATTCTGAAGAAAGACAGATTCATCAACTGCAACAGGTACTTCTTGCTCATCATCAGAATAATTAACGTTAGATGGTTCACACTCACTCACTGATTCACTGGCAACAGGTCTTTCTACATTAGAGGGGTTTTCTACATGTTCAACACTGTCATTGCGGTGCTTCTTAGAAAGATGGGATGCAAAACTCGACAAAACAGAGAACCTTCTATCACATCCTCTAAATGGGCATTCAACGTGTAACCCTTCACGCAAATGTGACCTCAAGTGACAAACTAGTAAAGATGATGTTTCACACCTTACTGCACAAAAGTCACATTGTATAGGAGTACATGGTCGCTGACTATTCCTCAAAGGCACATCTGCTTTGTGGTCTCTGTACATGTGAGCTTTAAGTACAGGAATTTTAACATACTGTCTGGAGCATTCAGGCACACCACACTGATATCTGTAATTAGCACTATTACTATGCAACTTAATGTGCTGAGTAAACTCACAAACTCTATTAAATTCCTTACCACATGTGCTAAACTTGCAAGTGAACATTTTGGAATTGTGTGAAGCTTGCTAGCAGCTAGCTAACTTTAGTTGGCTGTTGGTCGAGCTCACCCTCACAACACGTGGTGGTTGTCTGAAAATGTTCGGCAAAACGGACAAAAAAACCCCGATAGAAATATATACGATAATGTTATAAAATCTGTTCTTGATATGCTTTAACAGTTATAAGAAGATAGCAAACATAGAAGCTACCTTTTTACGGCTAACTCACTGACAGGAGGCAGACGTGACGTTCTTCTCAGAAGTCAAGAGCGCAATAAAAAACTTACAAACAGAAAAATTGCTCAAATACTGACGTTCGAATAACGTTATTCCCTCCAAAAAAAAACACATATATTCGAACATCTGGTTGCGCATTTTGCACATTACGTCAATTACAGCAGAAATTAATACCAAGAGACATAACTACTTGTAACGTTATAGGTAGTTTATTTAGGATTAAACCTATTTGGCAGCGTATCTCAACTAATCGCCAAGACCGCAGAGCAGACCTCACTCTCACTTTCGTCTCGCAGGCGCTCTTTCTCTAAATGACAGCCCTAAATGACAGTCGCGCTAGCTAGCCGATCCATCCAAACAGTGAAAAAACCATGTTGACGTTACTTCAGGCAGATTAAAAATAGCATCAGTTTGTGATGAACAAGGTAGCTAACGTTAGCAACTACCAGTACATACCTGATTTCATGGGACTGATGGAGGAAGAAGCGCGTTAATAATGTTAGCTACCTTATCATAAAAGCACCTATTTCTGCCCATGCCCTAACGTTATTTCCAATTTAGCTAAACCACAAGGGGACAGCCGACTTTATGTTAGCAAATCAAAGCAGACGAAACCGTCACCATCCACTCAGATTAGCAGAAATAATAACGTTATATGATATAAAAAAGGGTAACAGTAAGTTACATAACGTGAAGTTAACTTACCTTCGTCCCAGAATGTTTGCTTCTTTTTTTCTTCTTGAACGATGTCCGTTCTCGAATGTCCGTTTAGAACTAACCGCCTAAAAATTCAAAATTCCGATCGCGGTGATTCCATGATGCAACGCGGTGCATGTAAAACCATTGTAAAACTCGGCGTGTACAGTGTAGTTACAATAATAATACAGGACTGTCCATTAATTTCCCATGATGCATTGCCACTTACAGTAAAAACACAAATACAATACATTGTTGTAAGATTTACTGTATAAATTACATCAATTGCTAACAGTGTATGATATCATTAAAAACAGAAACACCTGATAAAATACTTATACTTCAGTTCAAGTTCAGTTACACTAGTTTCACTCTGTGGCAAATAGTTTGACTCCTCTGGAAGTAGTTTTGTAAATGTACAGTAGTTCAATTAAGTCCTACAAAAATAAATAAGTAAAATTAAGTCTGTTCTCTGATGTTGTTATTGATCGGATTTGGATTCTGAAGTCATCTGTTTTTCAGTTGTACAGAGTCAGAATGGCTGGAGAGTGATTTACACTTCTACTCCGATCTGTGCCGTAAAAGGATCAACAGTGGAATTAGGCTGCACCTACATATATCCCTCCAGCTTAAATAATCATGATACCAAAGCTGAGGAAACATTCTGGTTTACGAAAGAGAGTGATAATGTTTATGTGGATCTGAGATCGGACCCGGAGTATTCAGGTCGTGTGAGTATAGCTGTGATAAGAACCGCTGCACTCTGAGAATCACAGACCTGAGAGAGAGCGACTCAGCTGAGTACAAGTTCAGGTTCATAACAAACCAAGAACGTGGGAAATATACTGGTTTACCGGAGTCACTCTGTCTGTCACAGGTAACAATTTAGTTCCCAGTATTCAACATCTATGAGCGTTAGTTGTGTGTGTGTATGTTGGCAGTTCAGTCTAAAATGAAGCCTTCTTATTCACATATTCAGATCTCCAGGTGCAGGTGACCAGATTAGACATCTACAAGACTTCTAACTGGGCAGAGCTGGAGTGTCTCAGCAGTTGTCATCTACCTGATCATCTGTCCTATGTCTGGTATAAAAATGGACAGTACAGGCAGGGAACATCTACTTACACAGGCTCCTTTGATCTTGCAGATAGCTTTTCCTGTGCTGTAAATGGGTATGAGAACTCCCGCTCTCCTTCAGTCTGTGAGTTTACTCCACAGTCTTCCACTAACATAAAACCATCTGGTGGATCTGTTTAGCTAATGCACTGCACCATGAATGTACGTGTCTGTAATATGTGAGACAATAATTGCCTTGCCTTGTACAGCTTAGTCTTTCATTTTATAAAATATTAAAATCTATCCTCTGCTGTTATAAATCTGACTGTTTTCTGATGTGTTCTGTGTTACAGTGGTACAGAGTCAGAATGACTGGGGAGTGACTTACACTTCTACTGAGATCTGTGCCTTGAAAGGATCAACAGTGGACATAAACTGCACATACAGAAACCCATCCTGAATAAATGACGACCATACTATAATCTGGTTCACAAAAGAGAGAAATGATCAATATGTGGATCTGGAAACAGATCGTGTGCAGCATCAATGTGGAAACAACTTCTGCACTCTGAGAATCAGAGACCTGAGAGAGAGCGACTCCGCTGAGTACAAGTTCAAGTTCAACACTTCAACAGGGACATTTACTGGTTCAGCTGGAGTCACTGTGTCTGTCACAGGTAACATTTTCACTGGAAGACAGTTAGTGTGTATTTTGTCTTAGCTAACCTTGCATTTTAGAGATTGTTTTATGTTTTTAGGTGTTTTTAGAGTACTGTATATAGTGGCCACACTTTTGTATTTCTTTCTGTTTTTCCTTTGTACTTGGGTTGTTTGTGTGATACTTATATTGTGCCCTGACAAGTTTCCCACTTGGGATAGTAAAAGAACTGAAATTCTAAAAATAATATTTCTGTTGGTTAATCCCAGATCCACAGCTCCAGGTACATGTGAGGAGATCCACAGTCAACCAGTATTCTAACTGGACTGAGCTGATCTGTCACAGCAAGTGTCGGCTGCCTGATCGTCCTTCCTACATCTGGTACAAGAATGGACAGAACATTCAGGAAAACAAAGTTTATTTCATGCACATCATTCATTGTTCCTGCAGACAGCTATTCTTGTGCTGTATCAGGATATGAGCTGTTCCCCTCTCCTTCAGTTTGTGAGTCACTCCTAATTATTCCACTAAAATAATGTAATCTGGTTTAAAAGGTTTCACCAAAATAGTCAAGAACAACCACAGAAGTTCCACCACATCCCAAAAATTTTAACGATGCCCAATTGGCACTAAGGGGCCTAAAGTGTGCCAAGAAAACATCCCCCACACCATTACACCACCACCACCAGGCTGCACAGTGGTAACAAGGCATGATGGATCCATGTTCTCATTCTGTTTACGCCAAATTCTGACTCTACCATCTGAACAGAAATTGAGACTCATCAGACCAGGCAACATTTTTCCAGTCTTCAACTGTCCAATTATGGTGAGTGTGTATAACATATGTGCATTTGACTAATAACAGTTTAAAATAGCACTGTAGCAGCTGGACAGAGGGTCAGTGACCTCTTAAGGGGAGAGCAGTGATTGATGGTTATGTAGGGAGTGAACCCTTCTATAGAATTTGACCTCTGACCCCGTGTTTTGTTACCTCAGAATAGTACTGAACCCTTCTATGGTATCTAGCAGATGTCTGATGAGGACAGAATCTGGAGTACAAGCCTTTGCACAATATTGATATGTCAGATATACTTGAGAAGTTGCCTATTCTTCAAGATGGAGCACATCCTTGGATCTCGAAGTTGGAAGAAATTACGGTAGGAACACAAACTACCATAGGAGATATTAAGAGACTTTTTGCTAATCTCCTTGGGATTCCAGGTATGGAAGAAATTTTTGGATGCTTTGTGTAGATTGAATTGCACAATAAAATGTACACCTGATGGCTGTCTGATAGAAGTGCCAAAAGAAATGGTCCACCAATTATTGATGACAACAGAGATGGAGTTCTCTGCAGTATTTTGGATTGGAAATCTCAGTGCAGATTTTTTGGAGCCGGCTAAGATATGGGAGAAATTTATTGTGGCAAATGCCAGATGCGAAACTTCCGGAATATCCATTTCATTGTACGCTCAAGTATTTCAAGAATGCTGCCCAATCAAACCCAGAGGAATGGTTGGCTCATCAACCAAAGGGAATTCAACTAAGCTCAAGTTGCATAATTTTGGGACCACAAGGAGCAGCTATGAAGGTAAACACTGATGATTATCTGGAGATAGAATTCAAAATTTAGAAGAGTGTGCCACATGTGATCTTGTTGGTTCTGAAGACTATGAGCAGAAACACATAGGAGAAATGATGACTGAAGCAGAGGAAGCTGTTTTTGTACCGATGAAAGAGAATTTGGCAATTTGGAGGAGTACAGATCAGCCATTTCTCAAAATCATGATTTCAGCTAAAGGATAAGGACAGCCACAAGCTGTACGGATGACACATGAATCTATTTGTAGTGCCAAGATGGATTCAGAGTCTATGAAAGAGGAGATGTTGCGACAAGTTCCAGAATGTTGTGGTCTCAGCACAGTACCCGATATTGGACTTCACAACCAGTGAAAGTTGAACTTCGACTAGGAGCTAGACCTCCTTGGAAGTATCAGTATCCATTGAAGGATGAAGCAATTCCAGGGATCGAACCACAAATTGAAAGACTTTTGAAAGCAGATGTTTTGAAGATAACAACAAATCCTTAGAGTAACACGCCTTTGTTGCCTGTGAAGAAACCTGATGAGACTTATCGTATGGTTCATGATTTGAGAGCAGTAAATGAAGTGGTAACTGATTTTCCAGCAGAAGTTCCAGATCCACATACTTTGTTAGCCCAAACTCCTCCTGATGCAACACATTTCACGGTGTTAGATTTGTGTGGTGCATTTTTTCCCCTTAGTATAGAGAGTCAGGGTTTATTTGGATTCACATATAAAGGACAGTTCTATGAGTATGAGAGATTACCACAAGGGTTTAAACATAGTCCTTATATTTTTAACAAAGTATTAAAAGACGATTTGGTAGGGATAGATCAGATATTGCAGAGTACTGTGATTCAATATGTAGACGATATTATGATCTGTTCACAAGATAAAGAAACATGTTATAAAGACTCAATTAAATTGCTACAGATATTGGCAGAAAAGGGGCATAAGGCCTCACAAAAGAAGTTGCAATATTGCCAGGAGAAGGTTGTATATTTGGGTTAGACAATAACGCATGGACACAGAAGCATTTCTGATTGTCAATTGGAAGCTATTCGTAAGGCTCCAAAGCCTAGAACTGTCAGAGAGAGGTTGACGTTTCTCGGTATTGCTGGTTATTCTTCAGCATGGGTTGAGGATTATTCTAGTTTAACAGTACCTTTGAGAGCTATGGTTAAGGATGCTGGGAATGCTCAACTTCACAGCAATCTGTCCTGGACACAGGAAGGCCTTGTGGCATTTGAAACAATCAAACAGAGGTTACAGGAGGCACCAGCGCTCACACTACCAGACTACTCTGAGAATTTCTTGTTATATGTGTCTACTTCCACTGGAGGTAAATATGCATGTGAAGTCCTTTGTCAGCCGACGGGTACAGGGTCGAATCCTCAACCTATTTCCTATTATTCTACTGCATATTCAGAAGTAGAACTAGGGCTCTCACTGTGCTACAGAGCAATGGTGGGAGTTTATTTAATGTATGACAAAGCATCATCTGTTACAATGGGTTACCCAGTAACAATTCTGACCTGTCGTAGTCTCAGGAATCTGCTGAACTATGGAAAATACACATTGACTATGCCAAGGCTTAGAGACTATCATAGGCTCTTAGAGCAGGAAGATGTCACCCTGGTAAGGTGTGATACGGTAAATCCAGCCGAGAATTTGCCAACGTCAGAGGATGGTGAGCCACATAATTGTGTTCAAGAGGCAGAGAAATACTCAAGGC